TAAAATATTTTACTACCATATAATATAATATGATAAGGAGGCGGCACAATGCGGGCGTCGTCGCGTCTTAGGTTTTAAAAGGATATAATATACTTCACAATTTGTTTAGAAATTAGAAAATTAGTTTTAATGGATATGGAGAGCGCCCATGACTCCCCTTCCCTTTGAGCACGCCCCTGGTATTATATAAACGTAGCGATAGTTTTAGGAATATTGCATTTAATGTATAGTTGTTATGTTATATTATAGATTRTGCGATAATATGTATTCGGGCGGCGATGTTTCGCACTATGTCAAACGCAGTAAATTAATATTTTGAATGTGATGCCTATTGCACACGCCACACACTAACACGCAAGCACATCATGACCAACACAATAACTCACAACTTTTAAATGATCGTGTCAGCATGTTTACAAAATTATCGGAAATGACGTTTTGTGTTTTTACCGTTTACGCAGTCGGCTAAGTATCAGTGAATGTACTCGCGTACTGAAGTACGTATACTTTTCCACTTTCCATAGCGTTGTAAAAGCTTACTGAAATTTGTATTTTATAACTAACCGTTACCAAAATGTCAAAAAAGTTATTTCATTTAAACACGTGTTTCTTATATTCTGTTGGTAATCGGTCCAAATTCGTTTTACAATACCTAAATAATAATTCACCTGTTAAGCAAAAAATTGTTTAAACAATTTCAATGTCAAGTCTTTCGATTGTACCTTTGACGCGCAAGTACCTAACTTTCGTCACTGCTATTAGATGTATATTGTTCAGCCGTGTAAATAAATTGTTCACAGCACATAGAAAATAACAAGCATTTTCACGTCATTCGTACATGTCATAAGCCCTATAATTAAATTCTTGGCCTCGAAAATAATAATAAATATCACTTGAATTACTAATTAATTTAATTATTGTACATAATATATTTAACTGCATTTGGTTTGTTTTTCGTCGGCTCTTAGAATAATTATAATATAATATATTGATTATGCGTATGTATACATAATTATATTGTATTAAAATAATCAAAATTTTGTTTTCTTCCTGATTAAACAAAACGTATTTTTTTTATTTGTTATTATTATTTTTGTTTTATACATATATAGTTTTATCTTATTCAAAATCAAATTTAACAAAATGTGATTAGCAATAAGTGTTTTTTTTTAACTTAGCTGATAGGACTCACAAAAAAAAACTATTTTTCTTTTTAATGTTATTATTTTTTTATTTAGTTATCAAATCTAAACCTTTGTAAAAATCTTTATTTTAGTTATTATTATTAATGAACGTATGTTGACACGTGTATGTATTTTTATTTCATTTTCATTAATATTAATTAATATTGTAACTAGCCTACTATAATATAATATATGTGAATTTTGTCCTTTTGTAGATTTATAGCCATGTCGAAAGTTATGCAAAATATTATCATAATACCYATTTACAGTATACAACGTCGCGGATCCGGACACCGCCACGGAATTATAATATATAAAAAAAAATTGTTTTCACGTCATTTAATTAAACGTAACAATATTTACATATACTAAGATTATTATTATTATTATCATTATTATTATATTACATTAAACTTTTACCGTTATCAAAAATATTTGTTTTTCATTTACGGACGTAATCCAATACTCGGCGTGAACGCGGTGGAAACTCACTCGCCCTAGAGTGGTAACCGTCACGATGAGCATATATTATTATTATTATGACATGTGTGGGCGCGTGCCCCACCAGGCAATATTTCATACTCGGAATAAGGGTCGTTGCGGTGTTGTCAGACGAATAAGTATCATTAAGCTAATACATAGTTTCGTGTTGGACGTGTACATATGTTGTATCTATATACAACATGCTCGCATTAGGGTCAAGTATAATTATTATTATGTGAAATGAACATCGTGTTAATTAAATTTAGGTGCACAGACCGAGTAAAAAAATAATAATTATAATATATAATATACACGACAAAAAACTAAATAAAAATGAGCATACATTTGACGTAGGTATACGCGTCCATGAGTCACGATTGAAAGAGTACACTGAAGTTTACTGCTATATAAGTTAGCAATAGCTGGTTACCTACTCTCTCAGAATTCGAATAATAAAATATAACATAATGGGTTACGAATAAAATGTTAAATTGGGCATTTTATGAAATGTAAGTAATAAAATCGAGGAATAGTAGGTAAGTTCCTACACGGTCAAAACCAGGTACGTATGTATAAGTTCCTACACCGTGAAAAAAGTTGTAAATATGTGTATATGAATATTATACAATATAATACAAATGGCATAACACATTTTCACAAATAAGTACCTAAATAATAATTTAATTTGTTATTGAAACTTTATACGCTGGTATAGCTATTTAATATACCTACATTCAAATACGTATACGAAATCACCGGAAAATACGACAAGCTGCAAGCTGATAATACAGTATCCCGATTCCCGACTGGAMGTAAGTGAAAAGATAAAATATCTTATTATCTATACTTTTTGACGTACAAATTATTTACATATTTTTCACTATCGATTAACTTGATTTTGGTTTGATAATCTTAAAATTAGTTATATAACTTTACACAGTAAAATGTACATCTAGTTATTTCTCTTAAAAGTTTTGTTAGTATTRTTCGAAACATCCGTGTGTCCGTCTGTAGGTACTAATTATATAAAGTTATAGCCGTTCACAAAGTATAGCAATTAGCGAGAATGTATCGTTCATGTTGAGTGAAAAAGGCAAACAACTGCAAGTTTTGAATTATTTTAAATTTTTTAAACATCATACACCTAAAAAAAATGAAATTATGTGGCGTTGTGTTATAAATAAGTGTAGTGCAAAAGTTTATACTTTGATCACAGTCATGCAAGTGATAGCACTTTAAAGCGGCAACAAATTAGTAATTCTTGCAAAAGAAAAGCTGTAGACTCTATAGTTGAAAAACCGTCAAAAATAATACGAAAAAAAGTATCTAATTATGCTAATGAAGGAGATTTGATTGCACCCGACATAAAACTCATAGCAAGAAATATTCATAATGCAAGGATGYATTGTTTTCCCAAACTGCCGACATCGAGAAAAGAAGTTCACGAAGCATTAAGTATAGTTAGACATAAAAACAAATAGAGGTGAGTTATTTTTATATGACAACGATGCGCTAAATGAAATGGTTATTTTTTCATGTAAAACAAACATAGATTTTTTAAAAGAATTAGATGTTTTGTACATGGATGGTACTTTTAACTATAATAGTGATAAAATATACCACACGCAACTATACACGATTCATGGCATTCAAAATGGAGTATACATTCCGTTAATGTTTTGTTTATTGCCAAATAAAGAAAAAAAGACTTACATTGTATTATTGAAAACAATAAAAATAGCTGGAATAATACCTAAAAAAATTATTTTAGATTTTGAAATAGCAATGCATCAAGCAGTGTTTGAATTTTTTCCGGAAACCAGAAGTGTTTACAGATTGTCGTTTTCATTTGGGCTAAGCCTGTTATCGTAAAATTCAAAATTTAGGTTACGCGCCGCAATTTAAGTTTGCAAATGACGATGTAGGAAAATGGTTAGTACATATTCTTGGTCTTCCTTTTCTCAATCCTGAGGATGTGGCAGAATGTTTTACAGAATATTTTATGGCTGCAGACAAACCTGAAAATGCAGCTATAATAACCGAATATTGTGATTATTTGATAGACAATTATATAGGTGTATCAAATGAATTAATCTTTCTTCCGAAAATATAGGCGTGGCAATGTTCTGATAGAGTCCATACGACAAACGCTTGTGAAAGTTTTCATTCAGTTAATAACTCAAATTTTTATCACCAACATCCAAATATTTTTAAAATTATTGAAATTCTCAAACTTTTTCAAGTAAATACGTATATAAAAATAAGAATTACAATTAGTAACACGATACCAAAAATNAAATTTTCACCAAATGTTTATGTTAGTGATATCTGTATACAGTTTAATTTTCAAAAATTGTTGACTTTTTTTGAGTTATTTATAGACCATTGAAATTTTCGATTTTTATRGGAATTTTTTTTTGAAGTGTCGGTAAAAAATATACATATTTACACCTTTTTTCCACAGTTTAGGAACTAACATACGCATACCTACTTGGATTTTACCGCGTAGGAACTTACATATAACATATGTAAACAAATGTACCTACTTTTTACCGCCGTCGTGTAGGAACTGACGTATATATTTTTTTTACCAGCTACTCTCGTGTAGGAACATACATTCGTCCATAAAATCAGCAGTGTGTCTTTGACTGAGAAAAAAAATTTTAAAAATTAGTTGGTGGAGGAGTAGACTTGGATGTAGACGGGGTACATACATAAGAATACCCACACAAATATTAAACTATAAAAATACTGGTATAGTTTTAGACTTTAGTGATAATCACGATGATATATGTATAGCAGAGGTATCAAACCTTTTTTAGATCTAGTGCCAAATTTTTGCAATCAAAAGTTTGACAATGTTTCACGTGCCCGAAGATTGTTAATACTAAATAGAACATGATAAATATAGTAACATAATCAATTTTACATAGAAATATTATAATTTTTAAAACGTTTAGGTATAGCTTGTTTCTTTGAAATTTTTAGAAGCAACATTTTACGAATATCATTATTTTTCACAATTTTAATTTTGTGCGTGTCATTGAAATTTTATAAACGTGCCACTTTTGGCACGTGGTTCCGTGGGTTCGCCACCACTAATATAAGTGTTGATACCTGCCATTGACATTGATATGAAAATACATTTTTTTGAGTTGGTACCACATTGAAGTTACCAT